TAGTATTGGTGACTAGCATGACTATCAGCTCGGAGCCTCAGCCATAGTCCTTTACTGGCTAATGATTCTCAGTTACTAGCATATTCTAGTGTGTTATGCAGAATTTGCAAATTATAGAGCTGGACATGTAGCCTGCATATCACCGTTCCTAATGGTCCAGCCCTGGGTGAGTGCCTCAGAGTTGTCTTTGGTTGGAGCAGGTGGCTTGAGTACTGGGTCCCCACTGCTTTCAGCTTCATCCAGGGGCGGCTGACCAGTGAAGGGTCGCAGAAAGGGTGGCAGTCTCTACGAGCTGGAGTGTTGCCAGGCTGCCTGTGGTCAGCTCCTGGCAAGCCGAGATGCTGTGCTGCAGATGGCTGATGTGGCGAATGAGTATCAAGAAGATGCCATTCAGATTGAACATGCCATATCTGCCATTTTGGATGGCATTATGCTTGGCATCCATATTCTTGGTGCCATCCTTCCACCATACTTCGGCTTGTATGGTGGTAACGGTCCCATCTGATAATGTGAATATCTTTGATTAAAGTTAAAAATGGCCTGTTCAGTGGCTGCATACTGTAAAATCTCCTCTTTTTCAATAAAGTCCACAAAAGTATACCTTTGTCCCAAGGATGATCTTAACCAAAGATCGTCCTTCCATAGCTCGGCTACCTGCTCTTGGTACAGCTGAGTGAATTCTTCTTCTCTCACCTTGTGTGCCTCTCACCATAACTCTTCATCTGTCATGGGTTTGAATTTTTCTGTCCAGCTAGAGAGCAGATCTCCACCCTTCTGATGGGGGTCCACCTTCTTGGCCTCATTATCTGCGTCGGTTCTCTCCTCATTCTCGAGGAGGGAACTGCTGGGTAGGTCGTAAATTGCCAGCTCAGTCGGACTGGGGCTGCATACTGGGTCTGGCATCATTGGATCTGAGGCGAGGAGCAGGCTGTCATTTGGGCTGCTCTGGTGGCTCCTCAATGTCTGTTGTTGTTCCCTGCACCATTGCTCAGTGATACCAGCGGAAGTTTCTGTAGAACTTTGGATTGAGGAAAAGGGCCATAAAAGCCCTATCGAGGAACCTCTTGAGATCGCTGGTGGGGTCGATACCCTTGTCGTCTCCTCCGATAGTGCCTCGCCCTGCTAGAACTCCATCTCCCTGGACTGAGATGTCCTCTGTCTCTGCAATGGTATTGGTCCCATAAGATAACAGGCGGTTGTCATTGAGGTTGGGCTGAGCCTCCTCTTCATAGTGGTAGTCGGCCCAGGGATCGGACTCACTGGTGGGAGTGGCAGGTTCCCTGAAAGGTGAGTCAAACATGATAGTTCCAATGACAGTTGTGATCCTACTACCTCCCTTGCCTCTTCTATACTCCTCTGCTGCCCATGCCTAGAGGTACCTCCCAAAGAGGTCATTCTCCCTCATAATCTCATTGTCGATATGTGCCTGGTCCTGCCTGTACTCAGGAAGGTCTCTGGCATGTCATACCAGGTTCTCTCTCAAGGGACCCATAACGACGGGGCTGGTTGGTCGCATTCTGCTTGATACTGCTCATATGCTTTCTGTTCTGCTAATATTACTGCCAACTGAGCGGTGCTCTATCCTGTCAGCCTTGGTGGCAGTAGCTCACCACCAGTAGTGCTCATTGCTGTTGTCATGCCAATAGTCATTGTTTCTGTTGTTAATGCTGCTGTGTTGTGTAGATGGAGTATGTTGGGACCCACAGCCTCTGGAACCACTGGTTCCTCGAGCCATCCATGAGACATCCAGGGAGTCTCTGGCATGACACCCAATGCTGGTGCCAGAGACAGAGGTTGCTGATCTGGTTGCTGGGATACTGTGCTAGGGGGATGGAATGGGGGTGTCGGGTCTGGGTTGTCAAAACCCTGCAGCCCAAAGATTGTCAGGGTTTCGGATGACTGCTGTTGGAGGTCGTGGAGGGTATGTGTGCTGCTGATGCTGCTCCTCTTCTTCTTCCCTAGTATGCCTTTGAGCCAAGCTCCCAGGGACACTTTCTGGGTTGGTTCTTTCAGCAGGTCGGAAGGACTGTCGGGCAGAGGCAGGGATGTCATGGAGGGGGAGGTCTGGCATGACATTTCTGAGGATAGTTCGAATGCATTGGAATTCATGATAATGCCTGATTGTCCAAGCTACGATCGATTGGTGTCCACAGCACAGCTGTATGATCACTAATAGACCAATCAAGATTCCTATGATAGAAGCTAGAAGTTCAAAGAACTCGTAGGTAAAGTTTGGATCAGAAGGGTTAAGGGCAGGGAGCATTCGGTTCCTCAGCACAATTGGGCTTGAGGAAGGGAATGAGAAAGTCTCGAACTAATTGTTAAGCCCAAGTCTCACATGACTATCAACACATGATAAACAGTTTGGTACCTTGCACTTCAGGTATGTCTGACTGAGTTTACAAGGTTAACAGTGGAGGTGAGTCAAGGCTCAAGTAGTAAGAGCTCGAGAGTAGTTTAGTGAAGAATAAACTTTAGTTCGAGACTGAGGTATTACAGCAAGAACTAAGCTACTTAAATATCTTTCTGTTATCTGGCTATTAATATCAATTCACAAAAGATATTGTCCATCATGGTGCTGTTGCCCCCTGCTGTTGCTGGGCTCTCCACAAAAGCTGTTGTCTTGCTGTTGTGCTGTTATTGCTGCACTGCAATTTAGAGATAAAAAGAGCATTGTCTCTCCCTTTATAGCACACAGCCATGTGATAGGAGAATGACCAACTGAGTGCTGAGTAAGCATTCCCACAGTCCTAAGTGCTGGTCTAAGTGCTCTGACTAAGCAAGAATAGGGGTCATTTCTGAGAGAAAGAAAAGAAAATGAAGAGAAAGATGGAAAAATCGTAACAAGATGTTGATCATATTCAGTATACTCATATAGTAGCAGATGGTCTGCAAGGGTGCCAGCTCATGTACACTTTTTTCTGTGTTGTGTATCTAATCTACATGATGGATATACTCTTCTCTAGAGCTAGACCACATGTTACATACTTCCCAGGCAGCTGTAGCCTCATATTCAGCTGTGCTTGCTTAGAGTCAAGGATAAGCCTCATTGATATGTTTCTGAGTTTACATTTTATACCTGATTGGTTCCCTGAAGTGAGCTTCAAGCAGAAAGCCAAAGAATGGTGCAAACCTATTACTGCTGTGTCTGTCATGCCAATGGTTTTCATTAAGCAATTGATAGTATGTTGTTCTCTCCAGATTAGGTTACTTCATCCTCACTATCAATGTGACTTGCTCCAGGAAGATGACACAGCAGGACCTTCTATTGCATACAGACAAATATCTCAGATGGAAGCTGATGGAAATCAAACACTGGAGAATGAAGGCAGTCTATTTGAGTTGCTGTCTTCACTTTATGCTGGTATGCCTTTGATTTTTCCACATTTCTTAATCGACCCTCTAAATTAATGCACTGGCAGAAAGTTCTATGATGGGCATCCACTTTACCTTTAGGTTAGTACCTGCATTTCTCACTCCTTATAATCACTAACATCTGGTGCAGATGTTCCATATCATTGCACAGAAGATGATGAATACAATGAATATCACATCTCCAGAGGTGCAACTGTGATGGAAAACTTATGCTGAGTACAAAATCACCCTTTTCACACTCTTGGTTATGTAGCATCATGATAGGGTCCTGCTCCATGATGAGGCTGTCAACAGCCCGGAAACAGAAACATTCAACCCAGAGAGGTTCATGAAAGATGGGGTTCTCAATCTGGATGTTCCATTCCCCATGGAAACCTTTGGCTTTAGCCAGTGCATCTGTCCTGGAAAAGATATGGCAATTGATTCCATAAAGATAATGATGGCTTCATTGTTGGCAATGTTTGACTTTGATAATGCTGTTAATGCATCATTGAGCTTTTGGAGGAGTATCTGTCTGGCATGCTGATGTGAGTGCATGTATGATAATTCTCCAGATTTTTCTAATCATTTTAATAGTTACCCAGCACTGTTCAAGTGCTCCATACAGCCAGGGTCTCAGGCTGCTGCTTCATTGATTAGGGCAGATACTTAGGTTTCATTCATTAACTCTCTGATATCGACTTTCATCAGGATAGGTTCAGAGCGCCAACAGTTTCTTGCTCTGTGAACTTCTCTTGTTCAGAATCTTTGTTTTTGATGCATGTTATAAACCGCTTCAACGTGGAAATACTCTTGATCTCCTGTCTTTTTCTGTGCACCTGAAAGGTCTTCCTTGTTTTCTCTATGGCCATTTTCCTTATGACATGAATGGTAGTCGTCTCAGGTGACTGCGTCTCTTGCTCCATTGTTCAGTGGCACAGGCCTTTTGTTAAAAGTGAATAAATTTGAAGTTTCTGATCTCAACGTTCAACTTCTAACTACCACTCGCATCCAAATCCACCTTACAGACGCCTTCCGGAACGACGGTATACTCACAAGCCCTTCCTTTGCGACGACATGTACTCATGAATGACATTTACAGAAAACAATGCCACGGCAATCAAAGAAGAACAAATCACCCAGAAGCGAAGGCTCCCAAACAAAGAAAGGCGCCTTACTTGCTCCCTCTGAGTCCGAGTGCGAAAAGCCCACCTTCAAGCAAGCATCAGTTGAAGCTGAATACGAGTTACAAGAGAACGTTGTTATATTCAATGACAGTGGCGTCTTGTGTAACTGGTCCAGAGGCCTCAGTCCCGCTAAAGTGGGCACTCCCCTTCCACCAGAAATTGCTGCAAGAGTGGTGAACCGCTCTCAGCCCAGTAAGGAAGACGGTGCGTTGGCGGATGACGAGCAGGACTGATGCCGCCGGACTCTGTTCGCGCTGAACGCTTCTTGTATTTTGTTGTTATGTAACATGATGGATTATGTCTATGCGAAATGTCATAGTGGTCAGGAACGAACTTCAACCGTAGTGGCAAGAGCATAAAGAACAGTAACAAAATTCATGACCCACCAAATGCGGGACGTACGGTGGCACCTGGTTCAGCGGTTACTGCCATCTATCTAAATAGCCATGATCGTCGTGAGCAAGTCAATATTGACAAGCCAGAGCTATATTGGCGTTATCTGTCAACAGAGTGAGTTTCTAATATATAGTCGCAGAGCTATTAGCTTACAAGGATACTGAACAACACAGACATGCCCAGTGGCGTTGAGCCTACTGAAAAGAAAAAAAATTCTGGTTAAGAAAATTTAAGTAGAATCCCAACCGATCTAGTCACTTTGAACGAAAAGCTTACATGATGATCTCTCTCTTCGGTAGGACCATAAATAACTTGCGTGAAGATATAAATACAGATGCGCCTTTACACACGACCTTTTAATCACATCCCGTACGCCTCAAACGCCTCCTTCACAGCATCCCACCCACCCACCAACCTCGGCTCAAACAAGGCCTTGAACGGCATCGGATGTGCATTCGCACTCTCCGTAAATGCCAGTGTGTCAATCTTCTCTTTCTCGTCTTCGCGAAGGTTGAACGCCCACAGCGTCAGCGCCGTGTTGATGTACGTCGACGCCGTGGCCATATGTTGCCCAGGGCATACTCTGCCTTGTGTGTTAGCTCCAGGTACATAGATGCTGAAATGCCATACCTTCGACCGAAACCGAACGGATATGACCGAATATCATCTCGCACCGTCCCGTCCCCCGCGATCCACCTTTGGGGGTTGAACGTCTCCGGATCTGGGAAGACGGCAGGATCACGTCCCACAGACCTTTGAAAGTGAATCGTTAGATGCTTCCATAGCAAGATGACAAGACTTACCACACGTTGCCAATAACAGAAGCTCCTTTTGGTATACAGTAATTGTTCTAATACAGAAAATGAGGTTACAAGGTATACGGACAAAAGAAATACACACCCAAATGATATCCCGCGTAGCTTTATGTGGAAACCCACCAGACGTCACGGGTCTCCACCTGAAGCTCTCCAGCACAAACGCCATCGTCTGAGGGAGGATATCCTGATCGGCAAATGTCGGCGCTGAATGAAAGCCCACATCAAAATCCTAGTCAGAAGGCAAGTCAAAGGAACGCACGTCTGTCTTTTCCGATTACCGCATCTAATTCTTCTTGGACCTTCTTCTGTGTCTCGGGGTAGCATGTTGCAGCCATGACAGCCACGCTAATCGCCGATGCTGTGGTATCGCTACCAGCTCCGAACATGCTTCCAGCAAGATACGCCGTCTCGTCATCGTTGAGCTGATATTCATTTTGCCGCTCTATGAGGTACTTCCCGAACGAAGATGGAACTTCATCTCCTCTCGCCTAACAGGACGATGTCAAGGGCATGAAGAGAAAAGAGTTGGGAGACTCACGATCTGATCCCGAACCTCTTGAAGGAGAGTCTTAAAGAGACATAATTCCTCGGCATGCCCGTCTTTGAGCGGTTTTAAATATCCTGGCACGAATCTAAACCGAGGATTAACGCCGACTGATATACTTTGAAGATCGATGACCTCACCTAAGCAATGGGAGGATATCGACCTTCCAGGCTCCAGTACGCATCGTCAGCCCCAGTCGGGTGAGGCACCGATTGACGGATTGAACTTCAGGATCCTCATACGACGAAGGTGGGGCCTTCCCGTATGCTAAGGCCATCACCACAGCGGCGGCGTACCTAAAGTCAACATCAGTATGGGAAACACCAATTGAAAAGAGGAGGCTACGCGCCGCTTTGCATGGTCTTGGTGCCTCTCCGGATCCCGGACGATGTCCAACATATTTTGCCTTGCGGTTCTCATAAGTACTGGAGAGTACGAAGCAACACTCTTTGGCTGAAGATGAGAATGCAGGGCCCTAACAAAAGAGTGAGTTAGATCACTACAGAAGTCATCACTATGCAAGCGTACCTTCGCATCTTCTTGAACCGCTCGCCGGCTGGGGTAAGAAGGACGCGCATTCCACCAGATAACGTCTCTCCGGCAGCGATAGACCTAGGACGGTCGGCGAGCGCGGCACCTTCCTTCTCCATAATGTCCACGGCCGCCTGAAATCTCCCGACAACGACGATGGTCCTCAAGCCTTGTCGAAATGAGAAGACTGGCCCATACTCCTGTGTCCACTGTTCAAAATGCCGGTAGAAGCTTACGTTCTGTTAAGCGAGATACACAAGGAACAGTTTGCGAAGACATACAACTCGGATTTAAATGAGGTTCCAAATATCGAGTCACTTGGCGGTCCTGGAGGTAAGGGTAAACTAGAAGAGGGGCGTCGTAGTCGTGTATATACTACGGCCAGAAGAGTAACCGCAAAGACGAGGGCCACAACGATAGCTTGGGGTTCCGTGAAGGACATCGAGAATGCGGGGTAGGGACCAGAAATCTGGCAACCAGCTTTTATGCAAGATCCGGAGCGACACACAAGATCGTCATGACCTAAGTGTGATCACGATCATGAGAAACACGGAACCATATCGAGACGCGATGAGGATGCACGCCCACCGTACACGTACATACGGTGGATACGGGTACCGCATATACGCCCGTGCCTTTATGCGCCCGTATGTTTGTTTATGCGGCCGTATCCTAGACAGTCGTAACCGCATACGGTCGGTGGGCACCCAGTATGCTCTGAGGCTTTCTGGTTGGGTATTTGGGGTTAAGGCTTAGCGCGTCGTGAGCTCATGCCAGATGCAAGTCAAAAAAGAATCTCGAGATTGCACTTCTGCCGTCCTTGGCCAACGGACACGGCTGGAATCATGTGGGGAAGAGGACCCACGATACCCACTGAGACCCTGGACAGCTCGCGTTCACGTCGGGTCGGATGAGCGGGCCGGCGATGTACCTTCCATTGACAATGCGACACGTTACGGTTCCCATCATCTCCAGTTATTGAAATTCAAAGGCAATGAAGACTGTATTGCATGAGACTGATTTGAAAAGTATTGACACTTGTTATTTCCAGGCAGCTCTTATAAGTGAAGGTCCTAAGATTACAAGATGCTGAAGATGAGGTGGGAGTGGCAAAGATCCACTGTCTGACATTGCTGGGAGCTGGAAAGGTGATCTTAGATCTAGGGGGTGGTGGCTTTGAAGGTGGCAGTTCAGCTCAAGATATAATACAGTAGTTGGCATCTAATAGAAAAGAAAAGAGTCAACAAACAGTATCTTTATTCTGCTATAGCATTCATTTGAGTGTTGTAACCTCTATGATCAAAGTGAGAAAAGGCTAGCATCACATAGCATCATGTTGCTAGCCCATGACAATAGATGAGGGGAGAGGGAGGGACAATGGAGAACATGGTTTGAAATTGCACAACTCCACTATTTGATACTTGTATGCTCACTGGGGAATACTCTCCTAATGGCTCGATGATTTTTTCACCCTCATTTACAGCCTTACCAAACTCAAAGACTGCCAATGGCAATGCTATTGTTACCCTTCATAGAATCAACTTCAATCAAGTGCCAAATTCTACCCTGGACATATGCATGGACCAAATCTAAGAAAGTGATGTGCATTTGTAGTACCTAATAGAGTATGCTGTTAGCTATAATGTAGACCTCACACAGCATAGTGATAAGCAGAAATGCGGTGAGGGTGCTCGACAGACCATATTCAATATATATAGTCCATCCTGACATAAAGGAGTATCGAGCTTGGCCAGCGGGATATGATGGAGCTCCTGCTTGCTAATCCAACACTCCCCCTCAAGCAGAGCGAAGTCCAAGCTCAGTAGCAAAGTGCTTTACCTTGGCTGAAGGTAAAGGCTTGGTGAGAGCATTGGCAACCATGTCCTCAGTGGGACAGTAAACAAGATGAAGAGAGCCTTCACTGATGACCCAGCGAATGAAGTGGAAGTGAATGTCAATATGCTTGGTTTGGGCATGATACTGATGATCTTTTGAGAGCATAATAGCAGACTGATTGTCTGAGAATAAAGTTGTAGCCTCAGTAATCAGTGAGAAAACCTGAGAGAGCAGACTGTGAAGCCAGAGCACCTCCTTCGATGCATGAGTTGCAGCCACGTATTCAGACTCGGTGGTTGAAAGCGAGACAATCTCCTGCTTTTTAGATGACCACGAAACAGCTCCACCATTCAGCATAAAAGCATACCCAGTAATAGCATGTCTATCCTCTGCCATGCTCCCATCAGCATCCACATAACCATGCAAAACCTTTCCGTTTCCCCTAAATGTCAGCTGGTAATCTCTCATGCTCTTCAGGTAGTGAAAGATGTGCTTTACAGCCTTCCAATGAGCCTCTGCAGCAGCTGTTGAATATTTCGAGACTGTTGTCATGGCAAATGCGATATCAGGGCGTGTCCCAAGCATAACCCAGATCAAAGAGCCAACAGACTCCCTGTAAGAGACATCTCTCATAGCTGCAATTTCTTGGATGGAGGCTGGTGCAGGAAAGGAAGACAAATAGAGATTAATATCCATTGGTGTAGAGACTGGTTTGAGGTCTTCAAAGCCATAGCAATGAACAATGGCATCGATGTATGAGCATTGGGAAAGAGAAACAGAGCATGACTTATGGTCATGCATGATCTCGATGCCAAGAATCCAGTGCAGTTCCCCCAAATCCGTGACTTCCACGTATTTTGTCATACCTTCCTTTATCTCTCACACTAGATGCAATGATGATGCTGTGATGGTGCAGTCGTCAACATAGACAGCAATGATAGTCAAGTTTCAGCCCTCCTGCTTGTAAAACATGGCTTGATCAACATCGCACTGCTTGAATCCCAGCTGCACCACCAAAATCTCAACGAGATGTTGATACCAGCAACGACCACTCTGCTTCAAACTATACAGAGTCTTTATGAGATGGCAGACTTGACCAGGATGGGAGCCAGGCTCAGGATAGCCAGGAGGTTGATGCATGTAAATGATTTCTTTGTTGGTGAGCTTTCCATTCAAGTATATGCCCTTGATATCGACTTGATGGAGCTCTAGGTCGAGTGCCGCAGCCATAGCAAGGATTGAACGGATAAATGCAAGCCTTGCAACAGGGGCATAAGTGTCGAAGTAGTCGACACCAGGTACTTGTGAGAACCCTTGTGCTACCAAGCAAGCCTTGAACTTGACTATGCCTCTCTCAGCATCCTTCTTGATTCGAAAGACCCACTTTGAGCCCATGACATTTGCTCCAACTGGTTTTTTGACAATTTTCCAAGTCCCTGCAGTCTTCAACATCGCAAGCTCTTCCTGTATTGCACCTTCTCACAAAGGCCAATCAGGCTGATGCTTCGCTTCAGCTAGACTGCGTGGCTCTAAGGCTTCTGCATTGGCTGTTGAAATGGCCATGGCATACTCCTCAAGGAAGTCAGCATTCTTGAGTATCATCAACCAATCTGCCTCTTCTTCTCCCTCAAACTTGAGAGGTTTGTTGTTTTCATTGGCAACTGGTAACTGAACACCAACAGGTACCACAGGATCACTTGGGCATGCTGATACACTGCCTTTGCCAGAGATGAGGTCCAGCACCTGCTGGCTAGGCTTTCGAGTGTGTCTGGAACGGGTTTCTTCAACTATGGGTTAGACTGTAAGCTGGGCTTTGGAGGTAGGTGACACCTGTGATAGCTTTGCAGTAGGTGGATTGGGCTGAGTTTTTGGCATTGACAGAATCTTGTGTAGCTCAATGTCTTCCTCCCCTTCAAGATCGTCAGTGGCAATACAAGTTGTGTCGAAATAAACATTTTGCTCGATGGACACCATCTTGCTCTCTGTCTAGTAGACATGGGATCCATTGCTTGTTTCATCGAATCCAATCCACCGACCTTCACATACATGGCCACCCAGCTTCATAGCCTTAGTCTTAAGGCGTACCCAGCATTTCTCTCCCCATTCTCACAACTCTTTTAGATCTGGCTTCTTCCCTGTGACAGCTTCATAAGGAGTCATTCCATCTAGAGCCTTTGTCGATATTCTGTTGAGGACTCAGACAGCATAGTGAACAGCCTCAGCCCATAGGAAGCGAGGTAAGCCGCTCAAATGCAGCATAGCTCTGACTTTTTTGATAACTGTGTGATTATACCTTTCAGCCACCCCATTGTGCTGTGGCGTATCATGCACAGTCATCTTCATTGCCATGCCGGCATTTTTCAGATGCAAGACAAACGCTTTGTCGAAGTATTCACCTCCATGGTCTGAATGGAGGATTTTTACAGGGCGGTCATGCTGAGTGCAGATGCGAGCTTCATAGGCTTTGTATGCTGTGAAAGCTTCACTCTTCTGGCATAAGAATTCAAGGTAAGCCCAATGAGTGCTGTCATCAATGAAAGAGATGAAGTAACGGTATTTACGCAGGGATTCTACAGGTGCAGGTCCCTATAAATCAGAGTGAATTTCACCTCTAATGTCAGTTGCACATTCTCCCCCTTGAGCCTTAGACACTGGCTTTCATGTAGCTTTAGCATAGACACATGACTTGCAGAACCGTGGTTCTCCAGATGACTTGTCGAGCTTTACTCTGGTCACAAAGCCTTTTTCAATCAGACAGCGAGCAACTGCAGGTGAAATGTGGCCCATGCAGCGGTGCAATTGGTCTAGAGTAAGCACCTCCTCAGCTGTCCCAGCCAAATCTCCCTCATGATGAATCCGATATAGGCTACCATCATCTTTTGGGACAACTCCAACGACCTTTCCATCTGGTGCACAGATGGTGCATTTTCTGCCACCGAAAGTCAACTCAAAACTAAGATCATCAAGTCGGCCAACTGAAATGAGTGTATAGCCAACTTCAGGAGAGTACATGACCTCGGTGAGTTGCAGATTGCTCACATTTGCACCATTTGGCACATCAATGCTCATCATACCCTTTCCAGCTGCAGAAAATTTTTGAGTGTTTGCAGCACGGAATGCCTTGGGCGGGACAGACTGGAATGAGTTGAAATCGTCGCGGTAAGGGGAAATATGGTGTGTACGGCCGGAGTTGTAGAGTTCAGTATGAATTTGAACATCAGGTGAGTTTACAGTGTTGGTAACAGCTGCGACTGACTCTTCAGAAGCAGATACATCCTCTAAGGTCAGCATGCCAGATGTGGCATCCGATTGCTTGTCAACAAAGGAGTTCACATCACTCCAGTCAACATCTGAGGACAACGTGCTGTTCAGCTCATCCCACGACTCATCACCAACCTCCGAAAAAAGGTCAGTACCATCGTCTTCATCCTCTGAGTCCTCTGATAAGCCCTCAACTTCAGACTCATCTGACTCAGAAACTGCAGCCAGTGATGGCATGTCGCTAGCATCATCAACTCCGAATGCACCACCGGCTTTCCAGTCCGAATCCGACAATTCCTCAGCCACATTGGCTATTTCACCCTTCGATCCAGAGGCCTTGCTGTCATTGTCTGATGACTTCTTCTCGGGGCATTTGTTTTTGAAGTGTCCTTCTTTCCCACATCCCCAGCACAATTTCTTGCCAGGTTTCTTGCCCTTCTTATTGC